TTTGAGAAGGGGCTTGCCACAGGCGAGTGTTTTGTGTGGGGGAATCCATGCACGGGTGGCGAGTGTTTTATGGCACCTTGAAAGCTTTTACTCCGCAGGCAACCTGGGGAACTGCAGCAGAGCCGGAGGCTGCAGAGCTTCGCCTCCTACCTACCATCTAGAGGGGGATTTTCCCGCTGCAGCAGTAGCAGCATAAATAAAAAAGCATCCGTAACTAAAACAAAGGCAAAGGACAGGCTGCAGAGCAGTGTCTGGGCAGGAGCAGCTGCAGGGCTTGGAAGTCTTCCCCCTCTTTCAAGCAAGGAGAGCTGCTCCCTCCCCTCTGCTCAGGTCTGGGATGGCTGTCAGTGGGTGGGAGCACACAGCATCCCAGCCCCAAGATCCAAGGGCTTGTCTCTCCCTTTCCAGACCTGGATCCCACTTCCCAGGACCTACCGCTCGTCATGTGAGACACTTTGGCGAGCTTCTTCATGACGTTATCAAGCCGTGACTGAGTGCTGTCTAACTCGTGGGAGAAGTCGTCCAGCATCCTGGGGACAGAGAAGCAAGGCACTTGTCAGCAAGTGGCATGTCCCTTCGGGATTTCTCAGCACACTCATGCACGCTAATCAAAACAGTGATGTGATTGGTGTATCACACCTTGGCAGAGAAAATGAACATGGCCTGATCTCCTGAAAGCACCCACGGAGGGGAAGAAACCTGCTGAAGCAGCAGCTCTGCTTTAGTGGAAAGTGGGAAGTCATTTGGGACTCCTGTCAGACTGATCCCCCCCTATGTGTTCGTGGCTGAGCTCTACCTACCCTGCAAGGTGAGGAGTGGGGGTTTCCCTCCTTTTAAGAGGACATATCTAGGTGCCAGCTTGCACTTTAATCTCTTTTTTTTTTTGTTCAGGGCTTGCAGCTGAAGCTTAAATGTTGTTCCAGGCATGTATCAAGCAGGAATAAGATTTGCAATTGCTTTTAAGGTGCTTTTTAAGCTCTGCATGGAAGTTACCCCTCTACTTCCTCCACACAGCGACTGTAATGGATCTGAAAGCCTTCCTGAAGCCGTGCTTTGTCAGTGCCAAGAGCCCATTTGAAGAGAAACAAGTACATCCAGAATCAAGGTACCAATCCAATTGTCTCCAGCCAGTGGGACTTTGAAGCCTAACATGTTTCAAAGGACAGCTAGAGGTCTAGGGCACTTGTTAAACCTTCACTGAGTAGGGAAAAAAAAACAAACCCAAAACAAAACCAACTCATTGCAGTAGTCATCTGCTACTGTCTAGCAAGCACTCATGGCTTCTTACATGATGATCTAGAAACGGACACACCACGCTAATCTCCTTCTGTGAGAGCAGAAGAATCTCACGCTGCAAGACTTTCATACAGGAGGCGGGTTTAAAGATCCTCCTTTCCATCAAAGAAGACATCACTTCACGAGGGACACAGCTCTCCAGCCTTTATCGGCCAAGGAGGGTTTTTAGGCATGAACCCTTCAAGTCTCTCTGGAAGTGTTAGCTGTTAGCCTGCATAACTGGAAACTTTAGGCACTTGTTTGCAAAGGACAAGCACTGGGAAGGAAATCTAATTTATATGTAAATGGGTGGATGCAAATTACTTTGTGAGCTACCCTTTAACCCTTTGCGTGGGTGAGGGATATTTTTAGCTTTAACTGTGAATAGTAGCTCTGTGTTGTGTGTTTCAGAGCAGCAAGGCAGAGCTGAGAGGTCTTGGGTCAAGCAGTTATCCAGGGGCAGCACAAAACCTCGTGGACGGGGAAAGCATTCAGTATCCCCATTACACAGCACCTCCCTCCCACATCTGCTCAGTACTGCTGGCTGCCTGAAGCCAAGGAGCTAACTGTGTGCCTTGGGGGGAGCGCATAAAAAGGAGAGAGAAGGGAAGGTAAACTGGCAGCTAAGCTGCAGGCTTTCAAACAAATGAGAGTGCGGTTGGATACTCGCAGGCTGCAGTAAGAAATGCTTTCCACTGCCTAAAATCAAAGGCCGGCTAGCAGAGGCTGCCTGAGGGACTAGTAAATTCAAAGCCCTAACAGAGGAAGAGATATGTGTGCGAGGACCTCCAGCTGTGTTGCAGCCAGCCCCATACCGGGTTTTCGGCGCCACGTCTCACACTTACACTGCTTGCTCCTCCAGCTCCCCGCCAATGCGCTGGGACATGTTCTTCAGCACCCCGATGCTGCCAGAGACCAGCTCCAACTGCTCATCTTGCTGCTCCACAATCAACTGGGGCCAAAGAGAAGGGAAATGGGCAATTACGGGTCTGCTGCCTCCCGCAGCTGGGTCAGAGCCAGCCGATCCGGTGGACAGACACTTGCTGCTTGGTCAACATCACCTGCAGGGCCTGGGCACAGACCTAAGCCACCAGGAATGAGGACCGTGTTCCTAAAAAACGCTGGAGAAGTGACAGCCGCAGGAAAGCCTCCCTGGCATGGCATCCCTGGGGGACAGCAGGCTGCAGTCTCTCCCGTATTCCTTGCAAATCCAGCCTCAGCTCAGTCGTGCCCCCTCCCTTCCCTGCTGCGCCCATCGCTAAGGCAACTCTTGAAAGCCACAAGGGCCTGTCATCAAAACCTCCACAAGGCCCCCTGCCCGCAGCAGGTATGGCAGCGGGCACCAGGGTGCCACCCTGATGCTGTGCCTGGGAAATGCAACCTGGAACATGCTGCAGCTAACAAGGGGTTAAGGCAAGTAAAAGGCTGTTGCAGCTTCAACAGCTAAAAATAGCAAGCCTGGCTCTGAATGTGCCAAAGGAATAGGTCTGCTGATGTTTTAAGTCATTTTCAGGGCACAGTCACGCTAAGGATTAGATTTACCCTAGTTACCTACTTCTGAATCTATTTATCTTCCTAGAGTCACTAGGTAAAACTCATCTGAAAGCCAGGGCGATGTCACGGGTCAGGAGCTTTAGCAGTTTGCCACCTCCAAGAAGCTGCCTGTTTAAAGGCCCCTGTTTGGGTGGGCTGCTGCACGGGGGTCTGCGCGCTGCTCGGGAACTTCTCCAGACTCCCCTGGCAGCGGGGAAGCACCTCGCCAGGGGTTCTCGCAAGAACCTTGTGCGGGCTTTCTCACGAGTCTCATGTTGACAAAGGCAGGAAAAGGAAGCGGGCACGTGCTCCTGCTCCTAGCCTGTTCTGATGAAGATGCACACAAACAACAGCAAACAACAGCTCATTTTTTAACCAGAGGAAGCTGTGTAAGAGAAATGGGCTCTCTTCTCTTTGCAACGTTTCTAGTCTTCCAAGGATTTCAGCAATCCTTATAGTATTAAAGCTTAGCATGCTAGAGCTTTCAGATCATGTTTGCCTTCTGTACAGAGCAGAAGACCCAAGCCTCAAGGGTTAAAATCTCAGCTCCAAGATGCATCCAAAGCTGCGCTGTACAGGGAACACATGCACAGATATATGCTGCAAGCGAAGAGAAGGGCTCCTGAATCCAGATAAGCAAAGGACTGGATTTTTTGGGGGCTTTCACAGCCCATACCTTATCTCCCCAGGACCCATTTAGCAAGCAAAGCTATTTAGTCGGCATGGCGCCAGCTGCCTTACCTGTTGTTGAGCTTGCTGCTCCTCAATGAAGTGTGAATTTGCTAATTGCAGCTCCCGGTCCAGGCGGCTGTATTTGTCAGGTCCAGAGCTCCAACTCTGACTCCCGCTTTCTCCCAGGAGCGCCTAAACAGATGCAGAGAGCCCTTAGCAACACCCTTGTGTCTGCTCACAGCCTGTCTACAGGATGCAGTGGGAAGGTGGATGAGGCAATATTCCAGTACACATGCATACAGCATCCTTTTCCTCCTGCTCCACTGCTACTCAGAGCACTGCTATGAACTAAACCAACACAATGCCAAAATGCCAGCCTGGGAAGTCTCTGCAGCCTGAAATTGCAGATACACCTCTGGAGTATGACCAACAGACGGTGTAAGCAGGTGGTCTGCACAGCACAAAAGTCTGCTCAAGAGGCAGCACTGCATGCTAGGACATGTAGGCTGGGAAGTATCCGGATATATTGCATTAACAGATGTATAGCTCAAACTGAACACTGTGCTACTAACGACAGGGGCTTAAGAGGGTCTGGATAAGGCACTTAACCAGCTGAGCTGACAGTAAAATAGTGCAATATATAACTACAGGAGTGTTGTATGCTCGTGTTCTTTGATCCAGGCTACCTGTCCCTCTGGCATGCCATTCAGTTGCCAGCATCCAAGATTACATTTGCTACCTGCTCTACAACCTGGAGGGAGGAGCTTGTGCAAAGGCAGCAGAGAGGTGGCTTTCCAGCTGAGTAAATCTGGTCCCTGGAAGGGGTGTAAGATGAGGGACAGATGCTGGAGAATGAACATGGCCCACAGGTGAGGAGCTGCACCCTGCAGTGCTACGAATGGGTTAGGGAGCTCTGCCCACCAGCGTGGAGGAAAGACTGACTCCTAATAAGACCCTCTTGCAGCTTCTGGTCGTGGGCAGGAGGGGACGACTGAGTATTTGTGAGGAGCAGCAAGATAATGACCAGGCTGCTCTGGCAGGCTGAAAACAAGATGGTCTCTACGGCTCACCTACACTACAAGGTTCAAGGAGGGGTGAGGAAAGCCGACGGACCGACCGTGCAGGAAGCCCGCAGGACATCTGGCTTTGTCTGCCCCCAGACACTGAGCAAGCTCCTGGTTCTCTCCAGTTCATGGCAAGCGCAGCCACAGCTTATTTAATGTGGTGTGCTAGTTTTGCTGCAGCTGCAATAGGAAGGCCTCTGCTTGCCAGCCTGAGCCTGTGAGGGTCAGGTCGCCACTAGCCAGCCTCTCCAACAGAGGCATGCTGGAAAAGCTGCTGCAGCCCAGCACGAGCCTCGTGGTCTGGAAGGAAGGCGAGAGGCTGGGGAAGGGAGAGGAAGACGGCAAGGGGAAGTCAGTTTTCCTGACCAGATGTCGCCGCGTGAGCTGGGCCATATGGTCTCCTGCAGCTAGCAGGAACTTTGTGCAAAAAAAAAAAAAAAAAGCAGCAGCAAAACGCAGAGACGGCTAGAGACTTGTTTGAGCAAGGGTGTAAGGGACTTTGCTTCTTCAAGTGTTTGCCAAGCACATCCATTAACTTCGTAACAAGCTCAGGAATGAGCTCTGTGCTTCTCAGTAGCCTGTTGCAGTTGGTCATTCTTGCCACAAGTGGTAAGACTGATGCAGCCAGATAAGTTAATTGCACAAAGTGCACACCAACTTTTACTGAGGCAGCTCTGGAAGTCAGCTTTGAGATCTCCTTACAGCATCCCCGTCAGCTGGGGAGAAGCACAAGCTTCTATTCAGTCTATTTCTATCCCTTAGATTACAAGCGCAGACAACCTGAGACTCCTTGAGCTTCTTCCATCTTCTTACATGGCTAACTATTACAAGAGGCAGCTCTGTGAAAGGATATTGCAGCATCTTGGCTCCTAAATACAGCAGAGCACAGGATTACATTCACTGACATGGATTCTGAGTCTGTTCCCCCTGAAGAGGAGGAGGGAGATTCCCCTTTCTGTGGGATGATGCAACACAGACAGTTGTACACAACCAGATCGGAAG